CACACACACACACACACACACACACACACACACACACACACACACACACACACACACACCTTTAGTGGTGTCTCCCATGGGGATTTCTAATCCTATGCGGCAGGTGTTCCTGTACACTAACCTAGCCACTAGCCACTTGTACCACCCAATTTAAGCTGCCTCAGCTTGCATCTTACATCCTGCTTCTGTCTGACTCACATCTATTTGACTCAGTCTATTTCATACTCCCTTTCTTTCATTCACAGAACATCTCTGTACTGTAAGCAATCGTCTCCTCAGCTGAACTGATGAATGTTGTTGTATTGGTTTGATTTGCTCACCAGAATGAACCCACCCAATATAACCCCCACTAGCAGGGGTAAGGTGTGCTAAATTGGGTTGACCTCCTGGCGACTGCCATCTCCGTGATGTTTCACCTTCCTTTGGTTTATGAAGCACATCTGTGTTTTCTCCTGGAGGCTTTGTGACCACCATAGATGTGAGAGGGGTCACAAAACTGTACTTCAGTGACAACTCCATAGCTTCCTTCTTCACTTTCTCTTTCTCAGGTCCAGATAATTGAAGCCTGTGTGACAAAGTGTAAGATGGTTTTGTATGTAACTTCACACATTACAGGTGTTAAGCTGAATCCATGTCCTAAAATATGTATCTAAGAGATTTTCTTCACTGAAAGTCAATTCAGCAAAGTTCATAAAAAAACACAATCTATTGTTTGTTACAGGCAAAATACAGTCTTGCCAAATCATAGAGATCCATTACCAGACCATAGACAGCTTTGCTGTCTATATTGTCCAAATATAGCTTGGACAATATAGCTTCTGAGAAACATACTTTTATGATTAAGTGTAAAAACTCTGCCTTTAAAAAGATGTGAAAAAAGTTGTTTTTGAAATTTAAGGAGATGAGTGATGATGAACAAACATAATTGTACTAATATAATTTTATGTGGGAGATGTACATGACTATTTAATAGAAAGCTAAGAAATGGAGATGTTGATGTCAAACTATTCAACACTGAAGAGAACACAGTTTATTACTGCAGGCATATTATCTGATGTCCCTTTAACAGACTTCTACTTGGAATTTTGGGACTTAATTTCAACCTGCTGCCCTGATCTAACAAACTTAAAACATATTGTCTTACTGCAGTTCACCTGTCTTTCTGACACCTTGTATATTCAAATTTCATTCTATACATTCAAGTTTCAGTCTGTATGTTTACATTTAATTCTATATATTCAGACATCCATTCAATATATCCAGACTTTTCTTATAATGTATATATAATGTGATCCTAAACAGCATTCAATGATTATATATGCTTAAAATATCAGAAAAATAAACAAAGAAAAGTATAAAATAAATACAGTTTTATATATATATTTTATTTTATAGTGTTTTGAAGACACTGATGTAGAGGTAGAAATTTTAAAGACATAACAGCTGATAACACATTTCAGAGTCATACAAGGAAAGATGCTGTAAGTCAAACTCACTCTTTGTCCAGAAGCTGTTTAACTGTGAGGTACGCCCAAACCCTCTGGATACGGTCATCAGACACTGTTTGAGTGGATTCCACGGTTTCATTTGGATTAGAGAATATTATTCTTCTATTACTCTGCAATAATTTAAATGCAATGTAATGTCAGTCAACAGGGAAAACGGTTTAAGAAGAGTTCTGCTGATGAGTCCTGTGGATTGATTCTTACCGAAATGGCCACAACTTGAGGGGTGAAGGTTTCAATATTATTATCTGTGATCTGTCCGGTCACCACAATCTCAGAACCATTATAATACTGACTGAAGTTAGTCTGGGTTAGATTGGTCCCACCCACATAGATCATTGTCACATCTGTCAGTAGAGGTGTGGCCACCTCTTCATAGAAACCCTGTTGACATACAGTGTGGAAGTGATACAAATCATGCTTTTTTCTTCTTTCAATTCTCAGGGGTTTCAAATCACATAAAAGAAGAGCATGCATAATTTAAATACCTTCAGCTGTAAATCAGCATCAGAGTCTTCATAAATCCGTCGTGCCACACCGTTATTTTGCAGCGACATTTTCTCAAGGAAATTGAAATTAACATCAAAACCGAAACCGAGACAGTACAGTGGGAATTTGCCTGCAATAGCCTGTCTTACATTTGACTGGATTTTCTCCAGATTTGTCACCCCTGAAAAGAGACGAGACATACCCAGTTCAGCTCAGAAACAATGTAGTCTCATAATTCATAATAAATCAGGACTTTTAACCACAATAAGCTCATAAAGATCTCGGTTTCATGAAATATTTGTGTACATTTGTTTACAGATGTGTTTTATTATAACCTGAGGTTGGGTCTCCATCTGTGAGAAGTATAAGGATAGATGCTGAACCTTCTCTGTTATGTGCATTCAGCATACGTGCTCCTTGCAGCACTGCTTTATTTATGTCTGTGGCTGAAATGCAACAACAACAAATGCATTTTCAGTACAGCTATTCTCCTCCCAACTGTTGCTATTCCAAAATGTGTATTTACTGCAACTTCTCACATCCTCTGTGTTGAATATTGCGTGCAAAGTTTTTGGCACTTTCCAGGTTTTTGCTGTTGGCCTGAACGAGTTCTTGCTTCCAGTAAGAAATTCTGTCATCAAAAGTGATCAGACCAAAGTGATCATCTTCTGCCAGATCATTCAGAATGTGGATTAATGCGGTCCTAGTCTGGTTAAGAAAACATAATTCATGGCTACATATTGTTTTTCTTTTCATTAAAAATGTAAAAAAAGAGAAAAAATGTATAAAATCATATGAGAAACTGACCCTTCAAATACTTTACCTGCTCAATTTTTCTGCCCTCCATTGAGCCACTTTGATCAATAACAAAGACGACATTTTTTGGTATCCGTGGAAGATCAGATGGTGCAAAATGATGAACAAAGTACCCGTCAGATTTCTAAGGCGGCGTTATGAAAAAAACAAAAAACAAAACTTGATTGGTTATAGGATTATTCAAGAAGCTTTTTAGCCCAAGTCATACGGTTTGTGTTGCTAAAAGACCAGGGTTTACCTTGATGTGTCCCAGTCCATTATCCCTGTTAACGTCATAAACAATAACCAAATCTCCATTCATACCCTGATCTCCACAGCTGTCACACATTTTCTGTTGGTCGACTGTTGGATAGAAATACACCCACGCCTGGAAACAGAGTGAATCACAGAGTTTAGGAACTTGGTAGAGAGAGATGTCAGTGATTTTATTTTCTGTTTTCCTTTTTGGGCTGATATTTGTATTGTTAAAAATCCTAAATGAAACATTGTCAGAATTACTAATTTGTCTCAAATTAACGCAACATGACTTTACATACAAAGAGTGTTGGAGAAGCCCAACCTTTAGAAGAAAATGGAATGAGATGTGTTCAAGGACCAAAACCTTAAACCAGAGGTCACTAACAGGCGGACCATGGTCCAGGTTTTGAAAAAGCATTGGATGTGAGTTTAGCCATCCCATTACTACTCAGCCAATCAACTCTGTGGATTCCAGGTGATAAACACTGGTCTCTACAGTGCCAATAGTTGAGATGTAGTAAGTTGAAAGGATAGTATAAGAAGAAAAGATACAACACATGCAGTTTTACCTGCGCTTTAGGCAATTATAAACTGCCTGAAAGAGCAGTTTGTAAGAACTGATCTTTCCACTCTCTGGATTCAAATGGTTCCTGGGACAACTTTTTCAGGTTTAAGGAAAGTAGCCTTATGTATCCTGACAATGTTTGGCTCCACACACAAAAGCAAGGCAGTTTTGTCCAAAGTGAACATAATCAAACTAATCATCAGTGTGCACCTCCACAGGTGTATGAGAATTTTAAGCAATGTTCAGTTCTATGCTGTGTGACCAATAATCATTTTGGAATTATTTTTCAAATTATTTGTCAAAAGGTTTTGCAATTGTACTGATTTCATTTGATTTGACAGTCTAAAATCGCAAACGAAATAATTTCACATTATGATAATCCGGATCTTTGCTTAAAGAAATGTTAGCTGAATACCCCTGCTTTCAACCCAATTCTTCTGTACAATGATGAGAAATGAGCTATAATTTTGGAAGAAATATCATCATTACCGTAATGGTTATTTGTGCATTTTGATCATTTTATAATCATACATTTTACACTCTGAGATTAAGCTGCGTCTTACTGCAAATTAATAATGATCTGTTAGTACCTCACACTGTCTATTAGAAAGCTGATAATTGTTTTACTGTTCTACAACAAAAAGATTTCAGTACCTGTTTATCTGCATGTGTTTTGGTGATGGCATTAGCGAGGGCGTTGGTGCTCAGGCCTCCTTTCACATCGATGAAACTGATGCCGGCTTCTTCGTGAATGTACACATCCACCTGGTAATAAATACAATAAAATAAAATAAAAGATCTCATCATGTGTGCTGTTATCTCAGCATTTTCCACTAATAGATACCAAAAAGACAGTCACCTTGAAGTCTCTGACAGGCTGCATGGGTCGAGCATGAATTTGCAGCTCGTATTTGCCATGTGTGCGTTTCATCAGTTCCTCATATGTGAGTTCAAAAGTGACCTTTTTGTGAGCAGCCACAGTTACAGAGGTCTTAAATTCCTCCAGTGTCCTCCCTACAGAACTAAAGCAGAAACAATAATCATTTTACTAAATTGTAATTATGGCTGTAGTTTGAACTTGAAAAGGGAATAAGATTAACTCAAATTATGTTTTCCTATTCACAATTAACATTATTTTAGAAAAGAAAGAAAGAAGAGAAACCAGAACAGAACAAGCTAATTTTGAATGACAGTTCCTTGATCATTAATATTAAATTGTCATGACCATTGATTAACAACCACTGATCAAAGTCCATGGATCAAAGACCACTGATCAATGGCCATGAGTACCATTCACAGAGAGTTGGGGAATGGCTGCAATTACACCATTGTAAGATGGCAAAAGATGTAACCTTAGCTCCCCAGGGAACTTGATCCTTGGGGTGGACCAATTTTTGGTGCAGCGTGCTTTGGGGTTTAAAAGCCACAAAGATGGGATGTTTAGAAAAAATGTGTTTTAACTATTCTGATACTCCTGACACACACGGGATCACCAACGGTTTTCACTTAGGCAGCAGTTGTCCTCTCCTGGATCAGCTGGAGCTTTCTTTAGGCGCCTTCCCAGCTTTAGCAAATGTCCAGCTGGGATAGCCACATTTACTCAGGGCCTTCTTGATGTGATGCTCTTCTGCTTCCCTGGCTGCTGTATCTGTGGGGATAGTGTTTGCTCTGTGTTGTAGCATCCCGATAACACCCAGTTTGTGCTCCAGTGGATGATGAGAGTCAAACCTAGTGATTATAGTGTACACTGCTAAGTGCCATGAGGATTGCCATGATTTATACATTGGGGAAACTAAACAACTTCTGGCGAAGCGAATGGCACAAAGCAGAAGGTGAGGATGTAAAAATTCTGGACAAGGAGAAAAGCTGGTTTGAGCGAGGAGTCAAGGAGGCCATTCACGTGAAAAGGGAAAGACCATCTCTGAATTGAGGCGAGGGCCTAAGGGTACATCTTTCGCCATCTTACATTGCTGTGATTGCAGCCATTTCCCAACTCTCTGTGAATGGTACTCATGGGCCTTGATCAGTGGTTGTGGATCAATGGTCATGACAATTTGCATATTAATGATCAAGGAACTGACCTCACAGCCCATTGTTCATTCAGTGGGCTAGTTTTATTGTGCAAATGTACTGTTTATAAGATTGCGGATAAGTGACGAAATATTTCTCCCACTGAAAATGCTACATCCAGATGAACAGAATCAACCTTTTGGGGGTATTTTGTGTCATGGTCCGGGTGTGTGCCACTGTGTCTCCCTCCGAGCCGGCATCTCCACCCCTGGGAGGGGCCTCAGTGTTCTGCTGATTGCTCACACCTGTGGGTAATTTAGCCGGGGACTTCTCAGCTAACCCTACCACACCAAGCTGCCAAACACTAATCTCTGCCGAAGAGCTCCAACCCAGACGCTGGACCACCTGACAGTCCCATGGGCTGTTCACCCGAACCACCTGCCTGCCTCCCTGCCTCTACGCCAGGAATTTCGGACCACACACCCGGACCCCTCACCCCTGCACGTCACCACCAACCACCCGTGGCAAGTACGCAGTACGAAGGAAGATTCAGAACAAACAGCTTATCCATATTTGTCCTGAACCATACCTGAACGTCTGTACTCTATTTACAGTGACTCTGACCCTTTCCCTGGACCCAGTGTGTGACTCTCCCTCCAGCCCAATCCCTGGAACGGCTGTTTCCACTGACCAAGACCAGATTGACCCCTTTGATTCAGTTATGGCACTTTGCACTTGTTAACCTCACTTTCCAGTTTATGAACACTTACTGAGTAAATAAACGTCGTCTGTAAAACTACTTACGTGCTGTTCAGCGTCCAGCATTTGAGTCCTTTCACTTTTGAGGCGGCCTCGGCCGTGACAATTTTGCTTCTTTTTTATCCAAAAGAGCACTCAGTGTATTTGTACAATATGTATAAGTTAATCATTTAGTTAATACCTGACAAGTCCAGCACTTTCACCACGGGACACAGCTTCAGTGTACTGCTGCTGAGCTTGCTCCTTAGCTTTCACAACACCATCATAAACCTGGCCATCAATAAACCTGAAGAGGACCAAGAAAAGATCTTGTGTGAATACACACTACTGAGTATCCTGTACTTTGTTCTTTAGTGTAGAATTCTTTATTTGCAAATGTCTCTGGATCGTTACAGATCCTTTTAACTTCACACACATTCGAAATTTACTGATGAAGGCATTCTTGGGAATCCGAACATGGAATTCAATTTCCTTTGACTCATTCATACGATTGGCCACACGGCTTGTGATGACAGTGGTGGCATAACGACTGGTCACTGTGGAGTTGAAGTGGAAGCTGTAGATGTCCCAGTCATCCTGAGCAAACACAGGGGGCACATTTCACAGAAAACCTAACTCTCTCCAGGTCTTTCCAATGTCCAAATAACATGACAGTATTACAAGTTATAAAAAAAACCACATATATATGAATAAATCACTTAATCAAATAATCAGAAAGGCCAATTTATCCTTAACCTAGCACTGACCAACACCTTTATTAAATGCCAAGCTCTAAACATTAAAATAAATTAATAGACCACTTTTTACCCTGATCTCAGACAAAGGATAAAGTAAACATGTGCACACAGTCAGTATTTCTTCACTTCAAAGGATATTACATTATCTTCTATTCTGTTCCCTTGAAGTGCTCTTTTGGTCCTTTGGGTCTACTGAACTTACCTTGTTTGGCAGCGTGGAAGCCAAAGCAAAAAGGAGTCCTATGAGTGTGATTTTCACCACAGTTCTCCCCATAATGCCTCTAACCAAAATACCAGCAAAGCAGCTGATACGCTCTTTTAACCTTAAACAAGGACACTGTTATTATGCACAAAGTTTTTTTAAAGGGCAAACTCACTCGCTTACACAAACATCCCCTCACACAAACATTCCCCGTAAACAGTAATTTACTGCTTACCCAGCACTTTATTAGACCTTTAATGTTTACATTGAGGGTCAAACCTGTGCACTTGAGCCAAACGAGGCCAAACTTTGATCCCACAGCTGTCTTTTTCATTTGTGATAAGCAATAGCACTCTGACAAATCAAAGTGAAAGATATATAGTAACAATCTAGCTTTTCACTATTGGTGAATTTGAGTAATATTATTGTCTCAGAACAAAAAAAGTTTATTTGCAAGTATGAACAGTTTTTTTGAAACAGTATGAATGTGACAAGGACTGGAGTACGGAGCCACACAAGGGACAGAAAAAGAAATTAAGATGAACTTTTGCGAGTGCTCATAAAACTTCTGCAAGATCTCGCAAATGTTTTGGGCGCACCCTTCAGAGGCCACCGGCTCGTCGACCAGGAGGTCGAGGCACAATGTGCCGGGAGTGCGGTGTTCCCCCTGGTTGTAATGAGCCTAGCTTTTTTAAAATATGTGATGTCTTGATGAACCGAGCAGATTTTTTTTTTCTTTTGGGGGG